CAATATCTACAATGTCATAGGCAAACAAGCTGGCAAAATGAGGTTATATGATTTCACAAAACTACAAATTATTTCACCAAATTTACCTGACTGTAGCTTGCAGAAACACTTCTTTTCACGCGGAGCATTTCTCTGAAGGTGTCTTCATTTCCATGCTGCACTTCAAACTCATGCCATTTATTCCAGAAATCAGGGTCGGATCTAGGATCTGCAAATTGCGATGAATGTTTATATAATGCACGAGCACGATCAATTTCTCCAAGGCTCTTCTCAAGTTCGGCGTACTTCAGACACATTGTCTTAACATCCTTGTCGGGCAGGCCGGATTCAATTGCCTGTTCGTATATTTCTCGAGTCTTTGGAACACCAAAAATTTCAGCAGCCCGTGCAATGTAAATTTCATACATCCCCAATTTCTCATTGGGTGGAACAGCTTTTGTCGCTTGATTATATACACGCATAGCTCGTTTCGCCAGACCATAGTCTTCCTCTAACTTAGCATACTGGAGATACAGAGGTTTCACAGCATCAGCTGGGGCCTGAAAATAAACGTTTATTGCAAAACAAAGTCAAAACCAATTGCAAAGTATAACAGTCAAAATAAAATTGTATACTGAAAATAATTATACTTGTTCTTCAACAGGTAGACTGAGAAGAAAGACAATTTCAAGTACACGCCCATTATTTAATGTAGTCACAGAATACACAATATACACCAACCAATATGGGTGTAGAGAAACCTATATGTAGCCTGCATTTGCATGGAACAGTTAAAAAGGTCTCTAACTGATTTGGAGGTAAACATTGACAATTTCAACTGTCCTCTCAATTGAAAAACTAACTGCCAATGACCCTTTTAAGCTTTATTAACTAATTAACAAAGAAATTGATTCCATGCACTAACCTGCTCATCCAGAGGTTTAAGACTGAAATGTGGAGTTTAAAATAACAATGCTAGCCTTGGTTAGGAGAGTCAAATAAGATCCTTGTCCAACAGAGGTCAATTTTTCACGAGTTTTTTATTCACTTTTGAATTGGCCATGGCTATTGAAGGATACAATAAGCAGTCAAGTGTTGGAATTTCTTAACTAAGCTTCTCATTCAGGTTTAAGACTAAAATCCCGATTATTCTACAATAATATATTGGTTGTGCCTAACCACATGAGAATACCTATTAGGGCTTATTTTACACCTTTGAACAATAGGCCATTTAATGGTTCGGTATTTTTAAACAATGCATTTCTACTTTTCTTAATCATTGTGCTCGTTCCAAGTCTTCTCCTCATAGCCATATTCAATTCAATATATTAATATTCTCTATGCAAGATAAAGCTTCAATATGCTTCAAATAATTGACAACCTAAAATACAATGTGAAAAGAAATAATGATGATAAACAATGCATACAATATTGTGAAGGTTTTCAAAATTGCACTTTACAATATGTAATTTACCCTGCATAACTAAGTGGTGAAATTTCTTTAAATTTTTTTTTTTTTTGATAGGTAATCATGTAAATTTTATAA